GAATGTACACTAACCAATTTCATGCTGATGGTGCAGGAAGTTCAATTTGAAAGATAACTGGCAAACTCAATCTTCTACTTGGGTGAGTTTATAGTTTTCATTTTTGAAGCTGGTTCCAGGTAAAAAAAGATTTAAAAAAATTAAATGTTCAGACAGAGAAGTGACAACAACATTGTCTAGACAMAAAGAGCTGAACTCTTATCTAAAGCACATTCAGCTCAACATGACATGTTAGAACCCTTTTCGAAATTAGCARTAACAAAAATTATAAATGACAGACATAGACTTGTCATAAACTATAAACACAGTCTGAAATATTTAACTGACACACATCTAGGTGGCAAAGATGAASATTAAGATTCATTTGGATTTGAGATAATTTGGGCAGGATTGACATTCAGTCAGTCCATGGTGATGTCAACAGTTACGAAATCATAAAACCAATTTAAATTCAGATGCAAATCCAGTTAAGTTAATTCATTACATTTACTTATAGAACTTTATTAAATGCTGATTCACTAAATTTATTTATCTTAGGATGCCAATGAACTAGCTCAAATCTTCACTTTTTCACAATTTCCCATCTTGGCAATGGACACAARAAGCAGCATTTCTAAAGAAAAAAAAATCTATTGGTCTAAACACCAAACCAAACAAGCTGCTAAAGGAAATCAGTACTTGGAAAAAGAAGCTTACTATACAGAAAAAACTACGAGTTTACTGCACAAACATGAATAAAACCGTTTAAACCAATGCTACCAAACAGAGTCAACAGACGGGATTAATGACAGTTTGCAATGAAAAGCCTAACATTCTACAGAACTGAAAATAAAGCACAAATTTATTTTTTGACTGAAATATCTATGYGCAATTGAGCAATAACCAGCAGTCGATCTCTTTCACTGACACAATCAAGCAGACAGAAACAAGGAATAGCAGATGTACAATTAGAACAATATTAAATAAACGTGGGACTATTGATATTCTGTGTCGGTGTATCAACACCAATCTGCCCTCGAAATGTCAGAGCATTGTCACGTATRGATTTATCTCATATCTGTTATTAAGAAACAGTGAAGCGAGTYTGAAAGTAAAAGGTCACAATTCATCTTCTTCAGGTGTTATCGAGTCAAACTGTATTATTATAAAACAGAAAGTGCTGAAGAAAGACACTGAGCTTAATTAATCCATTCTGTTGTGGAAAAAAATTCAATATTACAGGATTCATTGTTGCCAATTAGAGAATGTCGTCTTTCACACTTTCTGCCTGGCCTCATTAGTTAGATAGTCATGAAATGCATGAAAATTGCCTTGTATGTTGCTGAAGTAGTACCTCTGAACTAATTAAGTGGTGCTAGTGTTCAGCATTTTTTTTACCCCATTTTTCTTAAAATGTTCAATTTTCAGGTACACTGTTTTTTTTTTTTTTCACTCCAGCTATGGTGCCTTAATTAACGGTACATTTCATCCTTAGAAGCACATTTTTGCACCATAAGATCAATTTATCTGTAACGGAGAGTGCAATTATTTTGTTTTTATTTTTTTAGGATGAGTGTTTAGTATTGTACACTATGCTACTTATAACCAAAGATAATTTGCGATGCCTATTTGCAGATCAACCTTTTGGTTACAAACATGAATAACAGAAAATATGCTCCAAAAGTTGCAGAATTAACAACTCAGCAATTTGTTGAGGTCACTTTACAAATTAAGAATGACCATTTAGCCACATGAAAAATATGTTTAAGAAAGGATTTTTCAAACTCATAGTTAGGGGTGTCACAATACCTGGTTTTCTCAAACTAAGTACGATGATACCAAGTACCAATACCGAGCACTTACTGAATAAGGACTTAAGCATTACACAATTGCTTAAAAAATACATTTATTTTATTTAGAACAAGGTGTTTCTCTTTCCTTAAAGGCATACAGTCCCTCTGACTGCATCAAATCAAATAYACAGCATGATTTATACTGTTGCAAAATTTACAAACAAATAGAAATAAATACAATTTTCTTTCACTTGTATGCATTTCTTATACATGGAACTAACAATCTTTTTACTCAAAATGTAAACTATAACACATTCAATGCAGTACTGATTCCACCATTCCAGTATCTGTTCTGGTATTGGTTCTGAGTATCGGGGCATTTTATACTAGTAATTGTAAAAATGCTGGAATCGAGCTTWTAAAGTTCAATTTCCTGACACTGATGTGAACTAACAAGCTTCCTGTCCAAAATCCTAACTACTCAATTATGGATTGTCTTTAGTAGGTTGATGGTTTGGGATGCTTCTTGCATCCAAATGGTTACACAACAATCTAAATGGGATTGCAAAGTGCAAAAACCTGCAGCAAAATTGGTTTTGGACTTTGCTTACCGTTTGATTTTTGAGATTTGCTCCTAACAATACCACTTTTTTTTCATTTTTTTATAGCTGCTTATGCAAGATGTTCATTACCGCGTGAGTCATCAAATCTCATTGGTTACTGTTTTGTTAAGCTAAGCATTCAGGCTGACTCAACTTCAAGTGAAGGATAAGTATGACTAAAAGCTCACACACTTACCCACCACCCATAGTGACCTGGTTCAGCATGATTCACACAGCAGGCCTGATTTAAAGCATATACTCTGGAGGACAATGATCTATAACTAAACATCATACTGTAGTAAATAACAAGCATTTAGACAAAAATGATAAATCAAGCAAAAGGTCATATTCATCTTTGCTTTTTCCCAAATAGATAAGATACAGTATCTGTTTTTGGTCAAGGATAAAAAAAGAATGTGGATAACATTATATATA